TTTAAAAAAATGATATATTTTTATATTTAGTACTCCTTTTGTCGCTTTTTACTTGTTCAATTTTGAATTGGCACACCTATTAAGAAAATAATTAATGACGTAGTGAGTTTACCATTTTACCCCTATTAATTATGAAGTGGATAAAAAGTTCTACATATTTCAAAGTAATTAGTCATTTAATTGTGGGTATGATAGGTAAAAAAAAATTGTCCTTTCTTGATTTATCAAAATGGACAAGTAATTAGGGACAACTGTAAAAGGAAAAGTGGACAAGTAATTAGGGACGAAGGTAGTAATAATTTAACTTTAAAATATTCATTTTACCCTCAATGAAATGATTTATAGTTACGCAATATTTGCTCCTTCTGTCCTTAATTACTTGTATACTTTTCACTTTTTAGTTGTCCATATTTTGACAAATCAAGAATGACAAAAAGAATTTGTTATTATACCCTCAATTTATTATTTTTAAAAAAGTAAAACTTCTTGAAAATCTTAAAATTTTAATTCATCAACTTCATAATTAATAGAGCTAAAATGGTAAACTCACGATATCAATTATTTTTTTCTTAATAGGTGAGTCAATTCAAAAGTGGACAAGTAATGAGGTATCACTTATTTTAGATTACAAATTTCAAAAAAAATCTTTTTTTTCTTAAACTCCGTATTAAGTCAAACTAACTCATATAAATTAATGGAAAGAAAATGCTAAATGACTAGAAAATTTGACCTGAGTTTGGCCAGAAAATTTAAAAAACTATGATATTTTTTTAATTATAAAATAAATTAATCTTTTTTCCACTTTAAAAAAGTAAAAATATTCTAAAAGATAAAATATCATTGTGACAAAAAAATTTCCCCATAAATTAATAGGATAAAGGGAGTAATAATTAAACAAAGTATTTAATAACTAATATACAAAGTTGAGCCATGCGTGATTTTTCTTATGCATCCTATCAAATTACCCCTTAGTGTATATCTATGTCAATTTACGTTGATGGTAATTTAAATTTATTATAATTGATATTCTTAAAAAAAAAAATATGGTCATCATACTATGCACATATTTCCAACAAATTAGTAAACACCAACGAAAATATTAAAATATTATTCTTAGACTCAATGAATAGCGGAGCTAGAAATTTTATAAAAAAATTTTAAAATTGCATAACAAAATAAATCGTTGCTAGTGAGATTAACCTCTAAGCTATTACTTTTTCTATCATTTAACTTGTATGTACAATATTTTTTTATCGATGTATGCCCTAAACCCAATTCTCTGAATTCACAAACAAGTTTTCGATGATAAAAAATTACACTTCGTAATATATATTTATAAATAAATATGAGGAGCATATATTTAAATTTCTAGCAGCAACTCTGCACTATATATAATTAATTAAATGTCTATGCTTAAAATAGATAGAAATCCGACAAGGAAATTAATGATTGGATTTTCCATAATTTATTTGGAAATTACTTCTTGTGTCACAAATTATTTGTTATTTTAATAATCCAATTTTAAAATTATTTCTTTTATGTTCATTTTATTTTTTTAAATAAAAATCCACACTTGGAAAGATAATTTACTCCCATCCATGTGGGAGTGAGTGAGAGTACTAATCAAACGATAAAAATGAGAAAATAAATTATGGCAATTAAAACTTAATTTCCAGAAATATTATTGCAATTACAATATGATAATTAGAGGGTTATTTAATTTGAGTGTTACTATTCTCTTCGTTTGTTTTTATTTGTCATATTTTTACTGTATGAGAAGTAACTTAAAAGCTAAATAGAATAAGATTAATATATTATTTAAATCATATGAAATAAATTACAATATCTTTTATATTAATATATTAAAAAAAATATAACTTAAAATATTAATAAAAAATCATATAGTTCAATTTTTGAGAGAAAGTAAAATAATGTGACAAGTAGGGTTGTGTATCGGCCGGTTTAATTCGGTTTTAAAGTTTATCGGGTTGGCTTATTGGTTATCAGTTTGTAATGATGTTAAACCGTTATAGAACCATTAAGATATTGACTTATCGGTTAATGGTTTATTAATTTTTTATCATTATCGGTTCGGCTATCGGTTTAACCGTTAAGATTTGACCCAAAAGAAAAAAATATTAAAAATCACTTAGAAACAAAGTGACAAGCCAAATAAACCATGCACTTAGTTCACAAGTTACATCTTGCTCGAAAGCACACACTTTTACATCGTAGAATAATCAAGTGTTTGAGACAACCAAAAATAAAAGTAGGAAATTAAACTCCAAGTCGAGGACTTCATATAAAAATGGTATAAATATAAATAACCACTAAACCAATAATCCAATACTATAAATTAATAACTTTTTTATCAGTTTAGTTTATCGGTTTCGATTCGATTTTGAACAACCTTAATGACTAGCAAAAATAATGAAAAGAGTATATTGGGATCAATTATATGAGCCTTGAATTAGTAAAGATAAAGATTGTTTATTTAGCTAATATTCTCAATAAAAGTGGACGATGCACTATGTTTGTCCTACAATACTTAGTTTATATAATAATAATAATAATAGTCAATTATATTCCTTACTTTAATTTTGGCATTAATGATACACTTTAGTTGAAGCACTTGAGATGTTAAAAAGTAACGGTTGGCTTAATAATTTCGTATCGTCGAATGATTAAGCTGGTATAACAGATAATATAGAATTTTTTTTATTAAACTCGTTGTATAGTATGATATTTTCATTTATATTATATAAAAGACTAATTATATAAATAAAAACTTTCTTCAAGTGCATGTGTAAAATAAGTACTATATTCTATATGTTTCAAAAACACTTAAATCTAATTAATTACCACTATAAGATATATAGCCTTATTGTATAATTTTTCAATCTTTTGAACACAAACGAAAAGAAAAAAAAAGCACTTTAATTATTATATTTATATTATGATGCAAGTCCTATGTTATAAAATTTATATGGGTTCCACATTAAGAAATTATTACTGTTCAATTATTTTATTAAATAAATCAAAGATGTCTTTTCATCCTTGTTAAAAGGCTTTTTATAGATGGATGGATATGGGGAAGAGCATCTTTTTTTGGTTGAAAGAATTAAATCAAAAGTCTTTTAATAGTACATTATTATTTTGGGATTAAATTAGTTTAATAGTACAATTATTTTAAGGTTGCTACATTGGTATAGCTACTAATATGTCATGAAGCAAGTTTATAGATTATTACGGGGAGCGAAATCTGTTCATAAAATTATAATTCAATGTATTTAGAGTTAGATGAGCTAATCATGACATTTTTTTTTATCAACTCGATTTGTATTAATTCGATTGATTTAACTCTTTGAAAAATTGAGTTGATATATATCATTCAAATTTATCCACAAGAAACTTTGTCTAAATAATTTTAATTTTTTTTATTTGATATGTTATATATAACTATAATATAAGTGAAAATATTTCTTAGGTTTACTTAAACAAATTATGAGAAACCAAAAAAAATAAATTTAAAACTATCAAACCACAATCATTATTCAGAAAACATATAAAATTCAAATTGAATAAATAAACATGAACAAAGAATATAAAAAACTAAGATTCTGTCTAAAATTCTGAAATTCATCAAATATTTGATCAAATTAACATATTAAAAAAAATCAAGACCTTGGTAGCGTAGCACAATGCAAACATGAAATTCTATCACACACACATAGCTAAGTGCTTGTGAAAATTTGGGCATCAAGTGTTGTCCAATATATACAATATATGTTCCCTATTTATGATGATGAATTGAAGAGTAAATCTCATGAACAATTAATGTACTTTAATTTGTGTTATGCTTCCTCGCTATATTTTTACTAATTCATTTTGAACTTGAAAATAAAATAATTATATTTAATTATTTTTTTTATATTTAATAAATACGTGGACAAATGATTATGGCTTTCAATGCCTATTTTGGTATTTGTTCAAATAACTCAGCTGAAGCTTTAACTCTAAAAACTGGTTTCAATATGGTGTTTAAATCATATTTTCATAGAGTTACTTTCGAGTTCGACTGCCTCTTGATTATTTATGATAGTTAAATGTATGATTAACTCCTTTTGGTAGATCAAATTAAAGATGATATCAAACAGATTCAATCGTGAGTTCACTTGATCATTTCTCTTTCCTTCACACCTTCAGAAAAGGTAACACTACAGTTTGTTTGCTCACGAATGTGACTGAACATCGCAAAACAACTATCTTCTTCATCGAGGCTATAAGTCTTCCTTGTAAGATTTCATTCACCTTAAAGAATGATGTAGTTGACAAGCCCAACATTAGAATTCGAGTGAAAAAGGACAACTTTATATTCAATCCTAGCTAAATTTTGTTTGGTTGCTTCTAATTCTAGAATTTTTTGTAAGCTTATCTGACGAGGAGCAAGCCTCCTCCTTTTTCATTCCTTTTATTTCGATAATTTAGAGAATAAGAATGTAGCCTCACTCCTAATTTTGTGATGCGGAGTCAGGCTTCACCCACTCGATGATCCTTTGACTTATGTATTAAATCTCATTGAGGAAATTTTCGGAAAAAAAGTTACAATTTTAGGTTACATCCTATTTGCAAGAAACTAATTACCACAATAATCCTCACCCCCTTGACAATTCTTCCTAATTGTAGCTTATTGCTTCAACGATTATATTCCATTAAGAAAGTTGTAGTAATTCAAAATGATTTGTTACAAATTACTTCGAACGTATGAAAAATTCATAAATAAAGCTTAATAAATATAAATGAATAATAAAAATTGAGTTTTTTTTCTCTCTTTATGTGAAAGCTTATTGTTATCCCAATTCAACATGAACTAGTTTAAGAGTCGTGAAATAATTAGATCTTTAAACATAATTAAGAATAATTTAATTCGCGCAAACAATCTAAAATTTATAATTTCAAATAAAGGGAATATAAAAAGTAATATTCCCCTTTTAAAAGAGATGATTAAAAGTGAAGTATCCAAACACCTCTTTCTCTTGCACGCTTAGTAGTCAGTACTTCACAAAATGGCCGGAGACCTGTTCGAAGATTTGCCTCCTCCGGCTGCACCGCCGTCTTCCTCCAATGGTGCTGCCGTCACTACTACGGAGACGTCGCCGGAACCACGACAACCTCTTCCTCCTGCCCCTGCTCCTGCTCCTGCTCTGAAGAGTGCCCTTAAACGTACTAAACCATCTGCAGAATCACAATCTGAAAGTAGGTCAATTTTCGTTGCTTAATGATTAAATAGAGTGTTGAATGGATTGAATTTAAGTTTCTATACTTCAATTCTGGCTGTTTTGAGCTTTTTTTTTGTCTTTTAATTTACATGCTTAAGAAGGAATAGGGAATTCACAAATGGTTTGTGTAATTTGAGATGTGATGCTACCATTTGAGTTGTGGCCTCTGAGCTATCTTCTTCTTCGGAGCTTTGAAAATGTAGTATGTTTTGATCTGTTTAGAGATTCCTTCTAGGATTCATGATCCCTTCATTAATGAGATTTTTTTTTGTGATAATACCACAGATACCTGCTACATCCCATAAAACAGTTACCATGTAACTCTGTCCACTTAAGCTAGAACATACATACATACAACAACAACATAGAGAGAAGATTAAGTGTAGGCCGACCTTACTACTACTTTAGAGGTAGAGATGTTGTTTCCAATAGACTCTCGGCTTAAGAAAAAACAGTTCTGAGTAGTATAGAGAGAAATGAAGAAAATTCGAAGGCTAGAACATATGGGAAGAAATCTCCCAGTGTTTTTGTCTCTGCTAGAATTTGAACCCAAGACCTTAAGGTGCTCAATGCACTTTATTGACCACTTGGCGACACGCTTGGGTGCTCATTAGTGAGATTCTTCATTGATGAGTATATAGTGATTGTCTGATTGATTTTCTAATCCTTCATGTCAACTTTGGGTTCTGACAAGAAAGTTGAAATTGGGAGCTAGAAAGGCTTCAACCTGAAACCATTCGTTGCATTCTAACTTCTAGTAATAAAAGCTTAAGCAAATGAGTCTATGCAATTTCATCTTTTTGTTATTTAGTATTGGTATGAAATGGGCCATACAAAATTCAACTATTTTAGGATTGATGGATAATTCATGGGTTGATCTATCCTCTTTCTCTTACACATATTCTAGCAATTCACTTTTTGAGCACTTCTCCCTTTTGTTGTCCTACAACTTGTTACTATTTGTTAGTTATTGGATGGTCAATATTTGAGTTGGGTAAGGTATTGAATAGCTTTGTTGACTTGCAGCTTCTGTTCCTGAAAAACGATTGAGATTTAAAACAACCACCGATGCTTCAGAGACACAAGTTATTGAAGCCATGCAAAAAATAGCATCACATATAAAGAACACTTCAAAGTTTAGCAAGGCGTCAAAGCTTGCAACGCAGCTAATTCAGGCTGGCAGTGTAAAGCCTGCAACTGGTGACCATTTCTTCGCCATTCTTGAAGCTGCAATGTCATCACTCACCGCCTGTCATGAGCCCTCTGTACGAGCAGATTACCACGAGTTATTCACAGCTGCGCAAGATACAATTGAGGTGAGCAGTTCATCATTTGTTTACAAGTGTCTCTGTTGGACATCTTATAGTGGAACATAGCTGATTATTGATTTTTTCATTTGCAGTGTCTTCCAAAGAAACAGCAAAATATGATAACTACATGGACCATGAGGGCTGTGGTGGCTAATGACCTCTTCACTGATGACAGTTTCGTGGTATGATTTTGACTCATTTTAGTTGCAGTGTAGAGTTCCTTTTTATTTTTGATAAGTCTATTCCGACAGAGTTATATGCAGTTCTTCAGTAAGAGTCATTGATTTTTATTCTGGAATTCAATCTACTACGTTTAAGGAACTCGTTTTCTTAAAATATCATGAAAGCACTTTAGCGAGCAACTTTTCTACTCAATGATTCTTTGCGATATGACTGTTAGAGTATGATCAATGTGCCTAGTATTTAGTTCACCGAAAGTTTTATAAAGCTTCTGCATTTCTCGACACAGTAACACAGTTGCTCTTGTTGGAACTAAGGAGTTCAAAGTTGCATGCTTGATTCAAAAGGAAGAGAGTGTTAATCTCTCCGACTGCCTAAGCATGTAGTTTCACAAAGTGAGTTTACAAAAAGAAGTTGAGAACTAATAAGGTCCTGCTAACTATTTAGGTGAGAAGGAAAGCTTATAGGTTATCAATCTGAATAAGGGAGCCTATGCAAGCTTAGGTGGACCTATGTCAAGCTCAATGCAATTCAACTGAGGCTTGGTGATGGCTTTCCCCTTGAGAGTGACAACATCATGATAACTTGGCTTATATTGAAACATCGAAAATAGAAGTTTACTGCTACATTTTGGAACTGAAAGAAATGTAGAATGGATTGCTAGGAGACCAGTGACAGTGTGATTTTTTTTTTTTGATAAAGTAGTAATATCTATAAATTTTTACTTGGCTAGGCTGACTGCCAAGCGAGCTCTACAAGTTTGAGCTCAAACTTTAAAACAGCAGACACCCAGTTTAGTTAAGTTCAAGTTGCTTGTAACCAGCTAAGCTTGGGTACACTGTTTATCTGAAAACTAGCCCTCCAAGCTCTCTTAGTTCAGAATGAGGGGCAATTGCTTACAACTCAATGCTAGGTTCACAGAAGCATTTGTGAGATGCGATTTGACCTTATAGCTAATCTAAAGGTTTTTATATTCAATCGATTTTTTGACGCAGAACAATTTCACTTGTGTTTGTGGTAAAAAGAAAGAAAGAACAGAAAACTCAGTACAAGTGACATTTGAATTGACCTTGCTAAAATATAAATAATCAACTGAAGTTCTCATTTCTCACCATTGAATAACATTTTTGGCAAAGTGTACAACTAATTAAAATGGTTAATCTCTTTGTCGGGGTGTATATTTGTCAATTCAAGTTAACAAAAATTAAGATGAAAGTTGAAATGTTATGAGCCTAACTTGTCACAGCAGGAGGGGCTTGGATGCAGGTGCCTGAAAGCATCAAGGCTATACTTAGCAAGTTTATGTGTTTCACACCAATAATTTTGAAAATGAATGTTTAAATGCCCTTCAAAAGTCAGTAACTAGATCCAACACATATAATATGCTGTTACCAGAACAAAAATGGACAAATTGCATCTTGCCCTTTTGGTTTACTCCACATGCAAAAAAAGTGGATATCTGCAAGTTATGAATTATGATTGACACCTTACAGGGAAGATGACTTTTCATCAAAAAATAAACCATACAGGGAAGATGAGAACCTATTTGAAATTTGAAACTGCACCCTCTTCTCATAGTTGGCATGGCTCTCAGATACTATTACTCTTCTTGATTATGTTGTTAAACAGTTATCTTATGACAAAAACGACATTGTGGGATCTGGAAAACACAGATACCTTGATTAGCATGTAAAACTCTTGATGCTCCAATGATTTTTGTGAACTGTAAAAAGATCAAATAATGGACATTTAATGATGGTCCAGGTTAAGACTTGCAGAAGAGGGATATTTTTAGATGTGGCATGTTTTTGTGGAAGAAACAGTATCAGATGCAATTTGGGAGTGTTCTGGCAATTTGTTTTCTACTGACTTATCTATAAAATAGAAAAGCCAAAAATGAGCATGGCCAGGAGTTGAAATAGCACCAGAATATCCCTCGGGTCCAAATGAGGCTAAGAATGATTGATGTTGCACTTCCTTATAAGTGGATTGACTTAAGTTGTTTTTTAAGTAAGGAAGTTGTAAATTCAATTTTAGGAGTTATCTTCTGGTTAACTTCTTTTATTCTACTATTTTATATCTACGCCCTCTATCCCTATTTCTTGCAATAACTTTGGTTTTCATGAGACATCAGTCATTTTAATGGATATTCAAACTTCTAATTGAAATGATTTCAGATCATCTCAATTTATGTACTTTTGCAATTTGACTTGTTTCATGAGCAAATAATATTGTTCTGTGTAGACCAGTAGCTTAGAGAATTTAAGTAAACTTTCTGACTCAGTATGACATTAATGTATTTGAACCTTTATCGGTGGAAAGTAAATGCCTATGAATGCTATGTGCAGAGTGATTCACTTTAATGGTCATTGCTTTTCATTTTTGTCACTGAGAATTGTTAGCTTGATTTGAATGAATGTGAAATGCAGATTGGCCGTGATCTTTTGCTGATAACCCAATATTATTGTCTTCTATAACTCATTTGGGGATTTCTTTTCGACTGTGCCATACTCATTGCTAATTTAGGCCAGGAAATAGAGACAGGTTATCTTCATCTGGTCAAATGACCAAGCACATGTGCAAGTTCCCTTTAGTTTTGATGGTATGTTTTTTTTTATTAGATGAAGGGAATTTCGTGAAATTGACATCAAAGAAGATGCATAGAAAACATTACAACAAAAAGGGAGATGTCTGCTCCTGTACAAAAGTTTACAATACAACTAAGAAGCAAATAAAATCCAGAAAATGATCAGTACTTGTTACAGGCTCTGCTTGAACCAACTGAATAAGTTAATTAAACAGCATTCTTTAAGAGTATGGTTAGGAGTTGAAGTACATCAAAATACCTACGATTCCTTTCATTCTGAATGCACCAGGCACCATTGACCTTATCTTTTTGATGGATTTGCCAACTCTCCATGAACACCAGCTCTCATAAGCTTCCTTGATACTGTTTGGCATGACCCAGGCAAGTCCAAAAACTGAGAAAAACATAACTCTAAATGTTAGTTGCTATGGTACAATGCAGAAATAGATGCCACACACTCTAAGATTCCATTTGACACATAAATACCTATGCACCATTTGAATTCTTCTGATGTTAAGATTGTCTTGAATAAGACACACTTCATATAAGGTCAGTTAGTTTGTAGAAAAACAGTTCTCACTTTTGGCTTAGTCTGAGGGATGTTGTGGACCAAATTGCATCAAATGATATATTTGAAAGACTATTTTGGTCTGTGTTGCTTAGATCATTCAGAATCCTTGCTGCACTTGTGTCGATCCGACACGATTTGAGTGTGTGTGGGTATGGGAGCCGCACTGAACTTGGTCAATCTAACTTGCGTGCTTTAAATACACCTATCATAATATGCATAGGTTGATCGGATACTTGATTTTTCTAAATTAAATATTAAGTGCTTACAAAAATATAATTGAACTAGCTTTACTTCAAAATTTCAATTACTTGTCGAAATATACATCTATTGGCTGTATCATAACACCTGATGAATCTAATTTCTAGATCCCCACGTGTGTCGGGTGCCCACACCGTCCAAGCAACACATATTTTGGTCAAAATTTGCTACTAACCTGTGATTTGTCCTAAAATTTGTTTCCTCGATATATCTTGAATTATGACAATCTTTTTATCTTCATCTTTTCTCTGCTTGGCTACATTTCAGTTTTCAAAAGCAACAGGCAGAATTAAAGAAACAATTTCAAATCTTCCCGTTGCAACTGAAGATGATGACGGAGAAGAGGCTGCTGCTTTGATAGAAAAGTCAGAAGCCGCCAATGAAGACGCCGCCCAGACAGAAGATAAGGAGGAGAGTGATCCATTTGGACTTGATGATTTGATTCCAAGCACATCAAAAAAAGATGACAGGTCAAAGGGGAAGAGGGTCACATCGACAAAAGCAAGAAAAGGACAAGAAGAAGAAGAAACCAAGAGATTCCTGAGATCACAGCGAGAAGCCTTGATTTCCTGCTTAGAAATTGCAGCTAATCGTTACAAAACCCCATGGTCAAGTATCTATTGACAATTCTAAGCCTTGTTATGTCTTTCAGATTTAAAATGTCGAATTCCCTATTATCTTACAATTTCTCATAGAAGTGTGACTTCTCTACTTGTCAGGTGCCAAACCTCTATTGACATCTTAGTCAAGCATGCCTTTGACAACATTTCAAGGTTCACCTCCCGACAGAGGGATGCTATCGAGAAACTTTGGGCTTCTGTCCGTGAACAGCAAGTTCGGAGGAAGCAAGGGAAATCTGTCTCCGGGAAACTTGATGTTAATGCTTTCGAGCATCTCCAGGAAAAATATGCAAATGAGAAGATCAGCATCCGTCGTGCTGTTGGAGGCAGTGGGGATCGAAAGTGTCAACAATGGCTTGGTTGATTTTAGTACTCTTGTAACACAATCATTGTAGCAAGGTACGTCTGGTTGCAGAATTAGTCATTAGTAGTTATGATATTGTATTTACTCTGAGAACGAATACTAAAAATTTGAGAAGAACATGAATTCAAGGGTGCGAGTAAAAGTGGAAACGAACTCAACCCACAATCTTAGAGTTGGAGGTAGCGGGAGCTTACCATCTGAGCAACTCTTCTTGTCGACCTTTTCTTCGTTCCCTTTGCGTGTAAAATGAAATATTACATGTTGAGATTGTTCAAATATTCCTATGACTTATGTGATGAGTTATGTCTGAGAATATTGCACGTTGACATAGCAAATTCTATGATTCAAAGTGAATAAGCTTTAAATAAAACTTAAAAAGGACGAGATTTAAATAAACAGTAAGGACGATAAGATAAATAAAAAGGAGTGTTACTCATCTTCAAGAGGTCCGCATTTGTCATTTCATCACCCATTTTCAAGAGCTCAAATTTCAATAAAAGTTAAATTTCAGTAACTTTGCAACTTCATTATCAGACCTCAATAATCAATTTGACTAACAACCAATCCTTTTAACAAGTCTAATTTTAAAATGTATTATTTAGATCACTATTGAGACTTTGTTCATACAAAACTTATTTAAACTAATCAAATAATTAAATCTAAGTGAATATAAAATATATCTACCGATTATACGTGCAAACAAATGATGTCTAACTAATATATAAAACATGTGTGAACAAACTTCACTCATATTAATTTCTTTATTTGTGAAATAATTTTATAAAATGAAGAAAATTAATTCGAGTTCATAACGAAAAAAATAGATGAATTTGACGACCTCCTAATCCTATTATAATATCTGAACATGAAAATTGTGAGTATTTTTAAAAAATAAAATTATATTTAACGATCAATATAAATCAAATTACTCTTTTTGAATTCCTAAAAATTTCATAATTTTATGGTGTCGAACAAATAGAGTAAAATGTCACTTAAAAAAACATTTGGGGTAAAATATGTAAAGTTCTAAATTAGTATGGGTAGCCATTGCAAAAAGACCAAAATTAAACCCTAAACCCTAATCCCCCAAATCACTCGCCTTCCCTATAAATCTGATAAACCCTACGCCATTTCTCTTCAAGCCTGCAAAATTCTTCTTCTGCATCTAAAGGTATGTAAATTTTTCTTCTCTTTTCATCAAAGTCGTTGTTTTCTGCATCTTTTTTATAGAGAAAAATAGCACATATCGAAGGCTTCACAGTTAGAATTTGATAAACCACTGTGGAGCTCAAAACTTGTGCGATATTAAAATGTTTCATGTAACAGCTAATCCTTTTAAAGGTGTTCTCTTGATCTGCATTTTTTTGCAATTACTCAGGAGGGATTTGTTATGTGATGTATATTTTGTCTTATATTTTTTGAATTTTTGATTTTGATTCAATGGATGTTGAGTAACAATCCACTGATTAGATCTTTGTGAGTCAAGTAGTGAATTTGTGGATGTTTTTTTCCCCACGAAGTCATGATTTTTATGATGTTTGTGGTAACTGTGGGATCTTTTCCAGTGTGGTGTGTTTTTATTGTTATCTGTGGTATTAGGGAGTAATCTTTTGATTGATTTAGTGGTTTTTGTGGTCTAAACTATGAGCATGGTTGCCATTTGTTTAATATTTAGTTACAAATAGTAATAAAAATTTGTACATTTTGTGTTTTCTCTTGGTTGAAATGTGTTTAATATTGTATTGGTGTTTGTGTTTTCTATCGGAAGCAACGTCTCTACCTCAGTTTGGGGTAAGGCTACATACACACCACCTTCACGGGATATGCTAATTCTGTGTTAAGCAGAAAAAAGGCTAATTGTTATGCAAATTCTGCTCTGTTTATTTTTGTTGTCATGTAAAGTTATTTGATAATCTCCATCGCGTGTATGTTATAATTCAGGTTTAGAAGTGACAATGGCGAAGAATCCGAAGGTTTTCTTTGATATATTGATTGGCAATGCCAAAGCTGGGAGAGTTGTAATGGAGCTGTTTAAAGATAAGACTCCTAAAACTGCTGAGAACTTTCGAGCTCTGTGTACGGGGGAGAAAGGGATCGGGCAGTTAGGGAAGCCATTACATTACAAGGGGTCGGGTTTTCATCGAATCATTCCACAGTTCATGTGTCAGGGTGGAGATTTCACCAGAGGAAATGGGACTGGTGGAGAATCTATATATGGTACTAAATTTGCTGATGAGAACTTCAGTGTGATGCATACTATACCTGGCCTTCTTTCAATGGCAAATTCTGGACGAAACACCAATGGATCTCAATTCTTTATCACCACAGTAGCAACACCTTGGCTTGATGGTAAACACGTCGTGTTTGGGAAGGTTGTTGATGGCTATAATGTTGTCGAGGCAATGGAAAAGGTTGGTTCAGATAGTGGGAAAACATCATGCCCTGTCTTAATCGATGATTGTGGTGAGATAACTGAGAACTAATGTAGTTTAGCGACATGTCAAGTTACAATATGGGCTGTGCAAAACTCATATATGCATGCTTTTTTTTCGACAAGCTGCTAGTACATGTAAAGGTTTCTGCTATGTTATGTTAATCTATTGAATAAATTGGCGCAATGACATTATACTGTGCTTATTACCTCGATTGAATTTGTTCGATATGTGTTATATTCATGAGCTCATGGCGATTATCTATATCATATGTGTGCTTGCTTTTGCTTACATTTGTTTGAGATTGATTGTACAATTATTTAGACAAATGCATGTCAAAGATTCAGAACAAAGAAATATGGTGTTCTTATTCAACAAATACGATCAAGTTTCACTTCACAACAATACAAGTGAATCCTGAATTTGTACATTCTGTTTCTTCTAATGCAAAAATGTTAATACAACATTGTATATCTTACTGTGATACTCAAAATTTTTGCCATTGATAGCATACAGAAAGGCTGCATTTTTACAGCATCCTAATCTTCATCAATTTGTTGATCTTCATCTTCCCATCTTGGTGGCCTAACTACCAAAAGCACCATTCCCAAGCTCATTTCGACTCCCATTTCCTTCAAGTTCAACCCTCTTTCCACTTTCAATCCCTCGTCACCGCTCCCATTGCCACCACTAAGCACCAAGTAAAACCCATCATCCACAACCACTTCCTTCCTTCCTCTATCAGCCACTACCAAAACTGGCTCTTCCTTGTACTTCCTCTTCTCCTTCCATGGCAAAAGCTTCCCATTCTTGAACGATACTGCAACTCCACCTCTCTCTAATCCTGCAATTGGTTGCCATCCAGGCAAAACTACCCATCTCCTCCAATCCTTCTCTGCCTCCACTACACCAAACTCCCCCACACCACCACATTCCCATGGCGCTGCCTCCACCTCAAACTCCCTCTTCTCCGCCTTGCAAACAGGCAAAACCACTACTTTCGTCGACTCTGCTACCTCCCCTAGCTTCATCCTCACCAAAGGCACTTTCACCTGCTCATCAATTACACTCTCTTTATCAACCCCTTTTCCTTCTAACACCTCTACAAGCACATTTCTAGCACTTTCAGTCTCCACAACTTCAAGTGCCTTCTCCATTGCCTCAACCCTCGAATCCTCAGCAGCTGCAGCAGCATGTTCTTGAGCTAGCCTAAAGAACCAAAAAGCCAAACAATCACCAGGAGAATCACCAGTAAACTTGTCCCAACCATAATCGATTCGTCTTCGCGGGAAATCCTTCATTGACCTAGCTAAATCCTGCGCTTGCTTCATATCAAACCCATTCCTCACTATAAAACTAGCAGCATCCGTTCGTTGCTTACCACTAAGCAACCGAATTTCATACAACAATTCAGCACCCCCAGATTCAAAAAACGACAGCGTTTCTTCATCCAAACCACACTCAACAAGAGTTTCACGAACTTGAGCAGCAACCACCAATCTATTCTGCTCAACCCCAGTAATCCCAGTAATTTCCTCGAGTGTAGAAGGCGTAAACCCTTCACTGGTTAACGAAGGTATCAAAGGGGCATATTCATACCAAAGTCCAAGACGATTAGCGAGAACTTCGAGCTTGGAATTGGTGTCAAGATTGCGAAATTTCGGTGGAAGAGGAGAAGGGGGTGGTCTAAATGGCTGATAAAGCTGCTGTTGTTGTGGTGGTGCTGTTGAATATTGTTGGTTTCTTTGACCTGAAGGAGGGATGATAAGTGCTGATATGGGTCTTGGACTGAGATTTGGTTTGTGGGTTATGGTGGGGATGGGGTGGGGATGACTAGGGAGAAATGGGGTTGAGAGAGATAAAGATTTAGGGGAGTTTACAGTGAGAGAAAACATGGCTGAAGACTCTCTGGAGATGATGATGAAGAAGAAGAACAGTAACTATCTTATCTTCATTTTTTTGTTGATATTTTTGATATTTGGGTTGGGCTTTCTTATGGACTTCCAATGTTTGATAATTTTAGTTGGGCCTAAGCTTGTCTATTAGGGTCCAATAATAAAGTCAACACGAGTGACGGTGGTCAAAATATGTCTCCGATAATATATACATATCATCTAATTAAGAATCGGGAAAATTATGCATTATAACAAACTATTACTTCAAACAAATGTTGTGGCTACCGTTTCATTTCATTCTAATTTGAAACGAACTTCTTGTCATTCACATCTCTCCCCTCTGGAATCTTGCTTGTCACTCTCCTCTTTTTTTCAGTCATCTCTCCCTCATTTCTCTCACTTATACTTTTTTATTTATATAAAGCGAGAGAGATTGTATATACAAATACATATCTTCGGTCCTATATACTTATAATATACAAATACAAATCTTTCTCTGACCAAGTTCTCTTTTATCTTTTTCTCTCTCACTTTATACAAACATAAGTTATTCAAAGTACAGTGTATAACTTGTATTCGTAAAAAGCGAGAACGAGACTTGATATACAAATACAAATGTTTTAATTCGATTACGAATATAATTTTATGCGTATATACAAACACAATCATTGACAAATTAATAGTTACAAATATACAATTATCTAACCTATACATATATACAATTCATCTTTCTCCATTCTTTGCTCTCTCTCGCTTACCTCTTTTTCCCAATCTTGCTCGCCACTTTAGCCTAATACAAAGAACATATACATATACAAACACAATTTTTATAGACACAGGCAAATTATCATCCAATATAGACAATTCACCAAAATTTTATATAAATCAAATGCTTCATAGCAAACTTAATCTAATTATGAAACACAAATAGCAAACTGTAGCTATAGAACGAAAGCCCCAACGACATAATTATACTTTTTTTTAGGTAATAGGGGTAAGAAGTTAGGCTATGGGCAACCACAAACTTACTTACTATCTATACATGTCCGGAGTTTGAAATATCAAAACTCGTAACTTTTAATTATGAATTAGCTTAAGATTATCAATAAATTTCGTAACTAATTTCGTAGTTTATTTCATTTAACAATTTAAAAGTACATAACTTTTATTTATATCCTCAACATGCACGGATTTGGTGCAAATGCATGCACCATCTAGTTAACTAAAAGGACAAAGTTCCTTTTTTTTAATAATTTTATTTCAATTTATGTTGTGATATGCAATATTAAGAACAAAATACAAAATTAAAAATTAAATAAGTAAGTTGATGTTTGCTATTTCTGGTCTTTGTAAATTTATAATATTTCTTAAATAATAATTTAACATTCATTTATATAAAATAAGTATTAAAACTTAAAAGATTAATCAAAATATATGAAGTAAGATTTTTAAATTCAAAGACCAGGATATTAATTTGTTGAAAATTAGGTTGGTAGATGTTAACTTGTACAAATTTATTCTTCTTACTATCCAAGTCAAACAAGAAATATTCAAACTTCCTTTTTATAATATTTTTATTTTTGTGAAAAATATTCAAAGTTCTAATCATGATTCTCAATTCATCTTCCACTTAATTATATCCTTAGAACCCAAAAAAGAGTCATACTAAATTATTCCACTTAAATTTCTTGCATTATTTAATTTATAAAGTAACTTTTGACCATCAATCAAAGACTTCTTCTATGGAACTTATTTTTTGAATTTTGACATTCAAAAACTTCTGGAAGAGTTAATAGGTTTAATTAGCACTTTGATTAATTTTATTTTACAAAAAAAGGAAATTTTATTCATACTAAAGAGTAAAACACTATTAATAAAATTATTGACTACCCATCAACTAAAAATTCTCTAGATTCTTGTATATATTGAATCAACTTTAGAATTTATATACTTCCTCTATTTTAAAAAGAACAATTTTTTTTATTAGTCTGTTGTAAAAAGAATGTTACTCATATAAATATGTTGACATGTCTAAAACTACTAATAACTACTAATTTCAATTGTTCAAAACCACATAAATCATTGTTATAAAAGAGTTAACGCGGAAAAATTTTGGGTTGAAATTTTTTTTGGTAATATTTGAATTTTTTCTAACCTAGTTCATATTCGGATGAAATCGGAGTCTTTGAGGTGAGGGGAAATATGATAACAATTGGGTGAACCATTTATAATTTTAATTGCATGAGTAGTTAGATAATTCGTTAAAGAATTCGTACGTCTTTAATTCGAACATGTAAAACTTCTTAATCTCAACGTGAAAGATATTTAATCTATTATATTGGCAAAAATATCCTTAAGAACAATACAATCATGTTAAATGTATTATCTTTAGAAATAAATTTTATAATACACAATTTAAATTTAATCGAACCTCGAAAAAAAGTTCACCAATTATATTTATATTGAATGATTTTATAATATACAATTTAAATTTAACCAAACCTCGAAAAAAGTTCACCAACTACATTTATATTGACCAGCCAGTAATATACTAAATTATGTCTATCTTCAATGAATTCTTCCTTTTAATTAATATCACGTGCTGTCGTTTCAAATCCAAAATTCACCACGTGCAACACTTGCCATGCAAATATAATCCTCGTGAAAAATCACAAAAATTCCTTTATTAGTCAATAATAATAATTAAATATTTACACAAACTATGAATTGGTCAATTAATTATAAAAGTTTATCAGCTTTATTCTTACTTCTATTATTGCATTTTTGTGGTTATTTTCTATGTCTTGAATGAATTTTTATCGAATTTTTCAGCCTAGTTTATCAAACATATTCTCAATATCACTAATTTAGACTTTATCCGTTTCGATTGGTCTATCATTTTTTTTTTAACTTAATATAGATTTTAAGAAAAATAATTTTTAAATTTCATAATTTTAAAAAATTAAAAATATCTTAAATATATTATAATATTTTTTAATATTGTGGTCTTTTTTGGTCTTCAACATTTGCTCTTCTTTATTTTATTAGGCGGCAATCTTCTTTATCTGACCGTATTAAATGAGGAAAGTTACGATTAAAGAATTGTAAAAAAAAAATTCCTTTTTAAACGTATTATTGTAAAATAAATAAATTGAAATAGATTCCGTTAGAAAGAATTGACTTGAGCAAGGGAGATTAACATGGGTTAGGGGAATAGTTTGGTCATTCTTTCGCCCTTAGAGATTTTGAATTTGAGCCCCATCTTTGGAATTGAAATCTGAAACGTAAAAATTTAAATTTAATCGAGTTACAATACAAATAAAAAATATAAAAAAAAATTGAAGAGAGTAATGTGAACACATTTTTTAAAAATTCTTTTTGGTTCCCTCTGTTGCACCAAAAGAGTTGGTTTGGTAGATTATAATTATTATTTTTAAGTTATCTTAGCAATAATAATGTTGACCCTATCTCCTACGCACTTTATTATCCATCAAAACATTTAAATAAAATTACTTTGACGACATTATAATCATAGTTTTACCACCACTAATTTAGAGTTATTAGGTCCATAATTATGAAAAAAAAAACGTAACTTCACATTTATTTTTTAGGAGCAAAATATTATGAACGATTACTTCATATTTGACCATCTCTAGGATCACTATTGTTCTATATTACATCACAAATGTTATTTTAGTTATATAATTTATCTTTTTAATAGAGTTAGTAATATAAAACAACATAATTATCACCCTTACACGAATCGATATTAAAATTTTACCTGAGATTATTAAAACGAACGTAAAAGAAGAAGCATTTAAGATTTTGAACTACTATCATAATAGAAGACGTTAACAAATCAAAACTCAAGTCAAAATATCAAATTAATTAAGTAATAAAATTACGTTCACACTTCACACACACATCATCTTCAATTGGCCAATCAAGCTTATGATTTTACGGCCTATTAAAACTAATTCGTATAAATAAAGAAAATTTTAAGTGATTAACTAATTATCTATGTAATAAACATTTGGGAACATACATCGAAAAAAATATATTAAAAATTTCAATTGAAAGTGTCTAATATAAATATTTTATCATGCATTTGGATATTCATTATAACAAGTTATAGTTCAAAAATATAAATAAAATTTGCTAACAAATTTACGATTCGATTAACACATTTTCTCTTACGATAAATTTGATGATAGTATGTATCATAGAATTACAAAAAAGTTGACCAAATGAAGACCAAAATTCCTTAGTGCTGAGATCATGAGTCTTATATTAATATTTTAATATATAGTTTTCATGATGATGTGGCCGCCACTTATAATCTCCACAAATCAATTTGACCAACATTTTGACCACACGTGCATAATTATTAATTTTGGATTAATTCATGCAGCCCCTATTATTATTTTATTATTACTATATTACTATATAATTAAGAAGACTACACTCCTCATCAATTTTCAACCATAAAATATCTACATGATTAATTAGTAGACTCTTTCAATCCAATTTTTTTTTTCAAATAGCAAATCATATAATTTTAGTGTGCACATCTCAATATATATATATATATATATATCTCAATTTCTCCCTTATAATTTCAAAAACCAAATTTGATCAAATATATCACTTATCTTTTTTATCTACCTCAAGTTTCGTAGGAGCAAGTCAGAAAGATTGAGAAATAGAATCATTTTAATTCATTGTCAACGTGACGAGATTAATGGATTCTTCATCTTCCTCATCATCATACTCATATTCACAATATCATGATCATGATCTTGGTTTCAATGAGAATGACACTGAGGACATGCTTCTTCTTAATGTTCTATCCGAAGCCAAAGAAGATTCATCATCTAATAATATTCACGAAGAAACTAATGAAGGATCATCAAAAGAAGTGGCTACTAGTTATAGAGGTGTAAGAAGGAGGCCATGGGGTAAATACGCGGCTGAAATAAGGGATTCAACTAGAAATAGTGTTAGGGTTTGGTTAGGGACATTTGACACTGCTGAAGAAGCTGCATTGGCTTATGATCAAGCTGCATACGCGTTGCATGGGAGAGTGGCGGTGCTAAATTATCCAGTGGAGATGGTGTATCGATCGTTGATGGAGATTGATTGTAGATTTGAAGATGGATGTTCACCTGTTTTAGCTTTGAAGAAATGGCATTCTATGATGAAAAAGGGTAATAATAAGAGTAGTAGTAGTAATAAAAAGAAGGAAGAAAAAGAAATGAGTTATGAAAATGTGTTGGTTTTAGAGGATTTAGGTGCTGATTATTTGGAGGAAATTTTGATGTTGTCTGAAAGCAATTCCTAGTAGTATATAATTATGTTTTGGTGTTTATTGTTTAATTTTTTTTTAAAAAAAATGGAATTAATTGATCTTAGATATTGCACTAATTAAGTGGTTTTAGAGTGTAAATATAACTTTGTGTTTGGTTTATGTATTTTTCCCTTCTAAAACACTCCAAGTGGCACAATTTATGTTATTTGAACTCAATACATAAAACCCTTTCACACTATTATTGGTATCGAGTTTCATACTTAAATTATTAGTGATTCTATTATGCTTATATAATTTTTTAAAGTTAAAATTACTCTGAAAATATTGCCCAATGAGCTAATGACACTACAGGTGACTAGATGGGAGAGTCATAATATTTATTACGACGTTCAAAATATATATGTTAAAGAAAAGTAAACTTACAAAAAAGTTGAAGAAGTTCAATATTGACAATATACACACAAAAAAAATCTAAAACAGATATAAATAATACAATTTTCAGCTCAAAGAGTTTCAAATCATGAATCCCTCAATCATTACCAGCCTCGCCATTGCTAGTGACATTATATTTCTAGCTCATACTAAAATTCTATCAAAGATAATACAAAACAATCAAATAAACTAATTGAAAGTAACCAAACAAAAAAGAAAAAGTGAAAACAGATAGATTGTCACTTTTTCGTCGTTACCTAATGTCATATTTATAATTTAAATGATAAATATATCAAAAAAGTAGAGTACGTGATAGAGTTACTATGAAAATGTAGGATAAAAAATAAAATATCATTATATTAAATAATAAATAAAAATATGAAAAGAGATTATTAAAATAATGATGCAATCAACAAATTGATCATTGTTACATAAAACATAAAATGAATGTTTATACCGTTACCTAATGATGAATTAAATAAATAATATAATACACTAAAATTTAAGTAACAATCGAAATAAACATTGTCATCGACTAACAATACAATATGATATAACGGATAACACACATCCAAACAAGGTGTTATAAAACGTACCTCATAGTTTAATGGGATTTAGTCATTAGATTATATTCTTTTAACTATGAATTATGAAATATATTTCATAAATACATGATATATAATATGAAAACAAATTTATACTCAATATTTTGTAAAGGCTAATCTAACGAAATAAATCAAACATAAACGTAAAAATTGTATTTAAAATGTAAGAAGTGACTCAAATCATGTACTTATGATTGGTCTAATGAAGAGCTTTATAAACATATGTTAAGAGTGTTTATTTAGGTCGCAAAGAAGAATTTTTAACTAATTTTCGTAGAAAAGATTTCATCTATAAACTCAATCGCATTAGAGAATGTTGCATGGAGAATTATTTCTCTATTCTTCTTCTCACAATGTTAATCAAATTCAAAATTATAATTAGACATTCATATCGCTTTACAAGATCTCAAATTAACCTTGGTTAATTCAAACTTAAAGTATTTTATGATTTTTAATATTTAAATGTGAAGTTTGCTATTATCATCAGATGATAAATTATTTTGAACAATGCTTCCTATCCACATTTGTATTATGTTTCATCATTATTTGTTGAATTGATGTTCTCAATTATATATCTTTTAAACATTTTGTGTTAGCATAATGACGAGATCATCTAGCCATTAGAATGATATGAAGTCTCTATGAGAATCCATATCTCGTCTAGAATTAGGATCGATATGAAGTCTTTATGAGAATCCATATATCAAAGCAACAATTGAATGAATTTGCTGAGTTGATAATGATTTTTTCTAATTAAGAATTCATTTCATACAAACATTGTACATAAAATGTGAGTCAAATTCTTTTAAATATAGTTCTTTTTTTTTTTCAAGTTTTAAATAGCTTAACAAAATTTTAGATAGTTAAAGAACTATATCCGTTAAGTGTTATAGTTAAGAAACTATTTTAGACCTACTATAATATAATTTAGAGATCATTTATGTTATTTTCTCAAAATATTACAAACTTAATAATTATTAAATTTCAAATCATAATTTTAATATTATAAAAAATTTGATGTCACACATAAATTTTGAATCCAAATTTATCTCGGCTAGAGACCATAAGCTGCTATGACTTTTTTAGAAAAAATTATGCGGATTGGCCAGCATTATTAGTGTATTATTTAATACAATTACATTTTCATGTAATTATGAGTCATGACTACCTTAATGAAATTTGCTATGAAGAATCTCATGTATTTGGCTAAATCATATATATATATATATGTTTTTGTATACATATTAATAGTTTTATTATTATATTTCATTTATGGTGGTTGGTTCTATATATTTTTATAATTTTTTGTTGTATATTTTTCCGGTATATCATTACTCACTAATAATTTATGCGAATCAATTGTATGATTTCAATGGTTATATAAAAATATGTATTTATCTATACTAATAGTTTGTATACAATTTAAACAATTGTACATAATATGTTACTTGGATAAACTCAATTTCAAACCAAAAGAAGGGAGTAAATGGGTATTTTTATTTACACTAAATATAGATGAAAATTATTTTTAAACCTTTTCCTATAGTTTTAAAAAAATATAGTATACCAAGACTGAAAAAATGTGAAGTACTTAATAAAGAAACATAGACAAAAGAACAATTAAAAGTTTGAATTGGGCCCTTGGAACATCATACTCTTCTTCTTTTGAACTGGAAAGTGGGCAGATAAGCAAACACTTATGGGCCTTGGGCCCTTTACAACTCCATAACATGGACCCATTTACAGCTCTCCATTCGGATAAGAGCAAACGACACAAACCTCACTAATTTAGGTTCTAATATCGTATATTGCTTTTCTTTGCTAGATACGTATATTTGGCTCATTCATAAACATGTATCTCGAATATAAACGAGTCAAATTAGATGTAGTTTACATTGTATCCAAAATTGTCTCTTGCTCGTGTATTTGTCTCATTTAGATATAGGTATTTCTGATACATACAAGTCAAATTTATACTGTATTCAAGACTGACTCTTTTATTCGAATCTCTCGTGTCTCATTCACCTTTGTATTTAAATGTATCTGGTTTTTATGATTCTGTTTAAATGAATTATTTTTGCATTGTTAGTTGCTCCATTAATTCTATGATTATTTTGCACCTTTTTTTTCAAGTTTTGAGTTGATCATTAATTTTTGTTTTTTAAATAATTGTTTTATATGAATTGAGATATAAATTAATATTTTATATCATATTATCTCATAAATTATATCTCGCATCTTTAAAAAAGTTTATTTTAAAACAAAATTAAATATTAACTCATCTAAATAGCAAAATAAAAGACTTGATCACATCGACCTCACCAAATTTCTATAATACTAAAAACAAAAACTTATATACTTGTTTTGTTTATCAAACTCATTATAACTAAAACAAAATAAAAAAGATTTGAAATATATATATAAATGGTATTCTTACTATTAAAGTTTGTTTTACTGTTATATATATATATATATATTTTTTTTTTTGTAGTCAGTTTTTATTTTGTTATATTCAATTGAAAATAAAAGGTATATTGATTTTTTTTTGTGTGTGTGGTCATTTTTTATTATTTTTCTATAAATAATAAAATAAAGGGAGTATGTATACAGATTATTGGCTATTTTCAACCACATAATATTTTCCAACATACTATGTAATGTGTTAGCTTAAAATGCACTGAATTAAAAAACAACATTAATGTGCTCATTTTGTCTCCAATGATTGGTTGAACTACTTATTAATTAGTGTATTTTAAGAATCAAATTATCTGAAATTTGATTAATATTTTAATATACATTTTAATTTTTACTTGTTCTTGTGACTTCATGTGGAAGATAAGGGGCCTAGCCTCATCACATTTTCTCCTTGTTAATAATATATTTTTTAGAAATCACATAATTTTTTTTTGTCTTTTAAAATTCATTAGCTTAATTAGCCTTAATAATCAATAGATACTAGGTGGATTCATTTTAATGGATTTTCAAGTCTCTATGCGCCTATTTTCAAATAATTTGAAATATTTAGCCAATTAGTAACCGAAATGTGTTATATTGTATAGATAAATAATTTGAATAATTTAGCCAATTAGTAATCGAAATGTGTTATATCGTATATATATAGTGAGATAACTTACGCATGTAACAAAAAAGCTAAATAATTTAGATATGAAATCAGTAAAACTATGCTAGTTAGACATATTTCAATTCATTAACTTCCATATTAACTTTCGAGAGCGAAACATGATAATTATTTTAAAACGAAAAAAGTACAATATTATATTACTTTATCCCTCTCAGTTTATGTGATATTTTTTATTTTTTTGAAAATTATGACATAGAAAAGAAACACTACTAGAGTAGTTATTTAAATTTGGAATATAACTAGAAAAAAAAAGAAGAAATAATTGACAAACACAAAATCAAACCAAACTGCCAACTTGTCCTTTATTTAGGCCATGTTCCCAAGAATCATCCAGCTTTTTTATTACTGTCATTTTGCTTCTCTATACAAACTCTCCCCATTCTTAGCTTTCCAGTTTTCAGTGGGCCCTTTCTCTCATGTGCTTCCTTCTTCCTCCTACTCTCAACTCTGCAAAAAAAACCCTACCACATTGCACAATGTTTCTCTTAAAATCTTGAAAAAAGTTTTATTTTTTGCATCAAAGATCACTTGGTTTCTTGTTTTACTTCATTGTGTTGTCAAAAAGCTTCTATCTTTGCTAAAGAAACGAACACCCTTCTTGTGTTAAAGCTTTTATCTTTACTTGTTCAGTAAAGAACACTTGAGTTCTTGTTTTTCTTTTTCTCATTGTGTGTCAAAAAGTTCCAATCCTTGCAAAAGAAATGAACACCCTTCTTGTGTTAAAGCTTGTATCTTTACTTGTTCTATAAAGAACATTTGGTTTCTTTTTCATTGTGTATCAAAAAGTTTATATCTTTGCACACCCTTCTTGGTTAAAAGCTTGTATCTTTACTTGTTCTGTAAAGAATACTTGGGTTCTTGCTTTTTTTTCATTGTGTTGTCAAAAAGTTTCAATCTTTACAAAAGATATAAATACCCTTCTTGTGTTAAAGCTTGTATCTTTACTTGTTCTATAAAGAACACTTGGGTTCTTGTTTTTTTTTTCATTGTCTTGTTTAAGAGTTTCAATCTTTGCAAAGAAATGAATACTCTTAGTTTAAAGCTTGTATCATTACTTGTTCTTGGTATTTCTGCATTTTTTTTGGTTGTTGAGTCTCAAGATGATGATGTTTCAGTCATGTTAGCTTTGAAAAAGAGCTTAAACCCACCTAAAGAAGTTGGATGGTCAGACCCGGATCCATGCAAATGGAACCATGTTGGTTGTTCAGACAAACGGGTCATCCGGATCCAAATTGGGCACCAGAACATTCAAGGTACTCTCCCTCCAGAAATCTCTAAACTTACTGAACTTGAACGTTTAGAGCTTCAAGGAAACAATATTTCTGGCCCTTTGCCTAGTTTGAGTGGCTTGAGTTCATTGCAAGTGTTACTGCTTGGTGAAAATCAGTTTAGTTCAATTCCTGCTAATTTCTTTACTGATATGTCTTCATTACTGTCTGTTGATATTGATAAGAACCCTTTTGTTGGTTGGGAGATCCCTGAGAGCCTTAGAAATGCTTCTTCACTTAAAAACTTTTCAGCAAATTCAGCAAATGTAATTGGGAGAATTCCTAACTTTTTTAGTCCTGATGAGTTTCCTGGATTGGTAAATTTACATTTGGCTGGCAATAACTTGGAGGGTGAATTGCCCTCCAGTTTTTCTGGCTTGCTGCTTGAGTCTTTATGGTTAAATGGACAGAAGCTTAATGGAGGAATTGATGTTATATCAAACATGACATTCCTGAAGGAGGTTTGGTTGCATTCCAATAACTTTTCGGGGCCATTGCCAGACTTTTCAGGATTAAAGGCTTTGGAGACATTGAGTCTTAGAGATAATGCCTTTACTGGTCCTGTGCCTAGTTCTTTGATGAATCTTGAGTCTTTGAAGTTCGTTAATTTGGCGAATAATTTCTTTCAAGGACCAATGCCGGTGTTCAAAGGTTCTGTTGTTGTTGATTCAGCAAAAGGTACAAACAGCTTTTGTTTGCTACAACCAGGTGATTGTGATCCTAGAGTTAATACATTGCTTTCAATTGCAAAATCAATGGATTATCCAATGATTTTTGCGAAGAACTGGAAGGAAAATGATCCCTGTGCTGATTGGTTTGGTCTTACTTGCAGTAATGGTAACATTACTGTCATAAATTTCCAGAAAATGGGGCTTTCTGGAACAATATCTCCTGAATTTGCTTCACTGAAGTCACTACAAAAAATAGTTCTTGCTGATAATAATCTGACTGGTACCATTCCAGAAGAGCTAACCACATTGACAGGCCTTACAGAGTTAGATGTGTCAAACAATCAAATTTATGGAAAGGTACCAGCTTTTAGGAAAAATTTGATTCTGAAATATAGTGGTAACCCTGATATTGGGAAGGACAAGAGTGATGCACCTTCCCAAGGCAGTTCTCCAGGTGTTTCAACAGGCTCTGATGATGGAAATTCCCAAGCAGCTCGTAAGAAGTCCAATCGCCGGGTTGGAATTGTGGTGTTTTCTGTAATTGGAGGTGTATTTATGCTTTGTTTGATTGGAGCGGCAGCTTTCTGTCTGTACAAAAGCAAACAAAAGCGTTTTAGCCGAGTGCAAAGTCCAAATACCATGGTATTGCATCCACACCATTCTGGTTCTGACAATGATAGTGTGAAAATCACAGTTGCAGGATCCAGTGTCAGTGTTGGTGCAGTTGGTGAAACTCATACTGTTTCTGCTAGTGAAGCCGGTGATGTTCAAATGGTTGAAGCAGGAAATATGGTGATTTCCATTCAGGTACTGAAGAATGTGACCAACAATTTTAGTGAAGACAACATACTAGGCCGGGGAGGCTTTGGCACTGTCTACAGAGGTGAATTGCATGATGGGACTAAGATTGCAGTCAAAAGAATGGAAAATGGAATCATCACTGGGAAGGGACTAGCTGAATTCAAATCCGAGATTGCTGTTTTGACTAAGGTCAGACATAGGCATCTTGTTGGACTACTTGGGTACTGTCTTGATGGAAATGAGAAGCTTCTAGTGTATGAATACATGCCTCAAGGAACATTAAGCAGTCATCTCTTCGACTGGGCAGAAGAAGGGCTTAAACCCCTGGAATGGACAAAACGGTTGACCATTGCATTAGATGTTGCTAGGGGTGTAGAGTACCTCCATAGTTTAGCCCATCAGAGTTTCATTCACCGGGATCTGAAGCCTTCAAATATTCTTCTAGGGGATGATATGAGGGCTAAAGTTGCAGATTTTGGCCTCGTCAGACTTGCTCCAGAAGGGAAAGGTTCTATAGAGACAAGGATTGCTGGGACATTTGGATATCTGGCACCGGAATATGCAGGTATGCTCTTTCCTTATATGTGTCTTCTGATGCTAAATTGCTGATATAATATTTGTATGTAATTGATGCCTAGATAAACTTGGTTTTAAGTTTAAAACCTCTAAAGTATGAATTGTGTGTACCTTAGGGGTTTGAACTCAGGATGCTTCTGAAGAATTAGCAGTCATTTGACTGATAAGAGTCAGATGATACTTAGTGTACTCTAAGAAATTTAGCCTGTTTTATGTTAATCAGCTTTTGTCCTATAAGAGGTCTAAATCTGTTGTATATATTAATGTTTGTGTCTTTTTTCATTGTCAATTCTACTTGTGCTCATGGTAAAGAACCTTTCATTCATTCATTGTTTCATACTTGTATCCTTGATTTTGTCATCCCCTTTAAAGCTATGATTACTTGGTTCCTAAATGTGGATACCCGTCCTACAGGAAATACTTTTTCCTGATGCTTTGCTGGAATGTCACCGTTTTCTACTTTAGCCTAATCACACACTTAAACATGTCATTTTTCCTATGACAGAAGATCCTCTTGTTTACTTTTCCCCTTGGTGGAATTCAAGGATAACCAAGTTCATTATTTGCTCGCTTTCCTGATCGTGATATGTGCATAGGCGTTTTTGGAATGTAGATACATCATTATCTGAACTTGTATTTTATCTTGTTTCGTCTGCCAGTAACAGGGAGAGTGACAACCAAGGTGGACGTGTTCAGTTTCGGTGTGATTTTGATGGAGCTCATCACAGGAAGAAAGGCTCTTGATGAAAGCCAGCCTGAGGAGAGCATGCATCTAGTAACATGGTTCCGAAGAATGCATCTCAATAAGGATACATTCAGAAAGGCAATCGACCCTGCAATTAACCTTAGTGAGGAAACACTCGCCAGTATCAGCACTGTAGCTGAGCTAGCTGGCCACTGCTCTGCAAGGGAGCCATATCAAAGGCCTGACATGGGCCATGCTGTCAATGTTCTTTCATCTCTTGTAGAGCTCTGGAAACCATCCGACGAGTGCTCAGAGGACATATACGGCATTGATCTCGATATGTCATTACCCCAAGCGCTTAAAAAGTGGCAAGCTTATGAAGGTTCAAGTCACATGGATTCATCCTCCTCTTCTTACCTTCCAAGCTTGGATAACACTCAAACAAGCATACCTACTCGCCCCTACGGATTTGCTGAGTCATTTACATCTTCTGATGGTAGGTGAGAAGTTGACACTCTTTGATCTAGGTTTGGTTGTTCATTCTCTCCGTTTCTTCCTCATCGTGAGTCACACGACATTTTCTTCTTCTTTTTGCTTTTAACTCTTTATGCTTTTACCTTAACTCATTGTTATAGGGATTCTTTTTAAGATTTTTATTGTCTTTTGACTCTTATTGTATGATGATGAATCTCTCTCTCTTTTTCCATGTGAATACATTGTGGTTTGGTTGGAAATGAAAGGGATGCCATCAATTACCAGTAGATTATGGTTACTTTTGTGTTCTTCAATTGTTTTGTTTTTTGTTAGAAAAATAGTAGGGTGCAAGCTGTATTGAAATGTAAAGTGGCTTTGAAGTGTGCAAATTATAAAGTTAGCTTTTGCTTATGATGCTTTTTCAAGCAAAATGTAAAGTTTTCTGTTATGATACAACAACAACCTAGCCTATTATTTTCGATAGACTCTCGATTCAAGGGTGACACAGATATTTTAAGGTGCATGTAATATTCAATCATGTCAAACAGTAAGTTTCACAAGTAAACCAAATGTCTGAGCTCCACTAAAGGATGTTGTCTTTACTCTTTGTAATCATATGATGTAAGAAAGACAAGTATCAATTGTCTTTCTAATAGAAAAAAAAAAGAAGAGAATGTGATCCTTGATTCCGTGTAGAAGTTAATGAAGTGAGTGAAAAACATGATAGATAAGCGTTTAAATTTTACTAAAACCAAATAGCACTATTTTCTTCTTCTTCTTCTTCATCGACTAGTGCTAGATGATAAGTACAGTAAGTATCGGGATGAAATAATTGAGGTAGGCCTAGATATTAATGAAGTGCATGAGTGAAAAACACGCCTGGTAAGTATCATATTTCTAGATCATTTGAAACTCATTAGACACAAATAGATCTAGTTTTTTCTTTTTTTCATCGCGCTAAGGCTAGCAGATTTATTGAGGTACGTGCAAGTTGAGCAAGATATTATTTTTATCGAGAAACAAAGAGAATGTGGTAGGGGATTAATGAAAATGAAAGTCTTAGCTATTTAACATCATGCTTTTCTCATATCTAGAATTGATCATTAATTTCAAAAACAACACATACCACAAAATAACAGCTAGTTTTGGTATATAAGATAAGTAGAAAGTCATTTTCATCACCAAAATGAGTGATACAAACAAAACAAAAAAAAAAAAGGAAAAAAAAAATAAAAAGTGGAATATTATAAATTTTTTCCTCTAATTTGGAGAGGATAAAAACAAAAAGCATGTTCTACTGTCATCCAAAGATTTTTTTTTTTTTTTTTTTGAAAAAAATAGCTGGTCACATGTACAAAATTTGTGTATATATTCTCCACCTTAGTTTGTTTAAAATTGTGGACCAACAACTAAGAGACTTCACATGGAGGTTTATATCATCCTTATCTGTCTCAATCATGATATTATCTAAAACTAATAGCTTAATGGCCAAGATTTTGTGTTTCAAAAATTTAAAAAATATACATATCTTTGGATATTACTATAGACGAATCACAATTTATAGTATTTTTCGTTAAAAAATTTAATCTAAAGATTGATTAAATTGAAGTACTTAGTTAGATAGCTCATAATGAATATATCAAATTGTTTATCTATTTGAATGAGATATTAATGGTAAAGTATATAAAGATATATATTTTATGTTTGTATTTTATAATTGAATGACCAAACATAAACTATATACTTCTTTAGCATTAATAATGAAGTTTTTCATAATTAATTTGATAAAATACTATTACTTTAATAAATATAATTGCTAAATTATGCAAAGTCGAGTTACATCCAGAAATTAACTTATAAAGAGGATTTTTTTTTCATAGGAAGCAATAGTTTCGAATGAATTATATTGAGCGAAATCAGATTAATTGGACAAATACGAATATCAAACAAAAGATACAAAATCCAACAAAAAGGAAAAAAATAAATAGAAAGAGATGTTTATAAATTCAGGAATTAATTTAGGAGTAGATTAGTTCCACTTAGATCTGTCAAATGGCCTGTTAGGATGTATTAACTTTTCCCCCCAAAAAAAAATTGAAATATATATATATATATATATTAACTCGCTTCTATCTTTTTGCTTTTTTGGTAATTTAACTCATAATTTTAAAATTAAAAGTAAGGATACTTACCATTTGAATAACTCTCTCTTGTCATTATATTATATTAATGAGAAACTTTCACATATAATAAATATAAAAATCATATTTGTATGTTATAACTATAGTTTGCATAATTACGTTCTATAGCAAATTTTATATTTGCTCTGGAGCTTTTGATTTGTATTATACGCTACAAACATTCAACTTTATACACATTGTTCAGTTTTGTATAAATTCATTTATACATTATAATTTGTACAATAAGATCTATATTTGTATAATTATAAGTGTATAGGACGAAAATATATGTATTTGTATTTGTATATACACTTTTCTCACGCTTTATACAAACACAAACGCACTTTATATATTTTATACCGAAATGTATAAAATGACTAATTGTGTACCGAAAAAGCCTAATTGTATACTGAATCAGATGACAAAAAAGAAAATGTTTGCTACAAATTACAATTAAAATAAACTATAACTATAACATTTAATTTGAATTAATAGTTTGCTGTTTCATATAATTTTCGCTTAATTCATTTCATTGCTGATGAATTTACCGATGTGATAAATATTAAAAAAATTAGATGAATCAAAATATATTCAACTTTTTCTTTCACGAATTCAGATGAACTAATTTATTTTGTTAAAACATAAATGGATTGAAAACTTTATTTTATTGAAAGGCATATGTTTAGTTATATACACTACTATATTACAAAGTTGAAAATAAAAAATTTAGTAAAATGATTGTGTATGCTAACATCCGTTTTCATATATCGTTAGATTGTTTGTTTCATAAAATAACGTCTATACATTAAAATATTATATCAAGAGTATTATAAATAGAATTTATTTGTGTCTTCTTTTGAATTTCTCTAATTGTGATCTAACGAGAGACCAATATCAATTTTATTCAACACAAAAATTAAAAAGAGATAAAATAATAGCACATGAACGTGTTTTTTTTTAATTTGATCTTAGTTAAAAAAATAAATATTTAAATTTATATAAAGTTAAACAAGTAAAATGACACGCATCCTACTTGACGTCTTACATGGTACTCTACATCCAATCCAATATTCTACACAATACGACGTTTGTAATGTTTACTAGTACACATTCAGAATTGAAGCAAGTTAGAGCAAATTAAATACTCCCATTTAGTTTGATTTGATCAAATGGAGCTTAAGAAAGAAAAACTTTTGAAACTATTGTGGTTTTAAATAATTAGTAAATGTTTGTGTGACTATAAGTAATGCTAATTGCGCGTGAAATGAGTATTTTAAAGTTAAACAGTTACTAAATATAATAGGGCAAATGACATAAATCACATACTTTTAACGAAAAATTACCATTTGACCCTTGTAAGTTTATAATTACAGAAATTTCTCAAACTGATATAATAATATAAGTGCTAATACATTAATTTAATACGCGAGATACATTAATTATTAAGTAAAATACTACATCTTATACATGATACACTAATCTGACGCGCTGAAACATTAATCTGATGCGCGAAAATGAGAGATTTTGGAATTTTGTAAAACTAATAGAAGATAATCGTTATAAGAGAACTTAAAGGTAAAATTTCTGTACTTTTATTAATATAAAAACATGTCATTCTTTTTGAAACAAACTAAAATAACATATTTACGTATTAAGCTAAATAAAATTCACTAATAGAAATAAAAAAGAATTAATTAATATCTTGTCCTTATTTGAAATACCAAAAAAAAAACAATTAAAAAAATTCCAGCCTTTGACAGGTCAGACACGACCCACCGACTTGTATTGACTAACGACTTGGTCATCGGGTCAACCCATTTTGCCGTCTTTATACAATTTTACTCTTTTTTTTAAATTAAAATAAAAAAAAAATAAAAAAATTCTAAATATGTTAGCTGTGAACATAAATATACACTTAATTTTCTTTTTCAAATATTCAACATTCAACGTTCAAAATCAAACCTTCTTCTAATCAATTTTGACTGTTTCTATTACCAAATAAAATAAAAATAAATTCACTTTTCCCATATATATATATATATACCTCTTCATAACAAGAAGTAGTAAAAAAAAAAGAACACATCAAAAATTTGTAAAAAAAAAACTTATAATTCTCTCAAATAAATTTTATTGTTCATATTTTTCGTTACAAGTTTATTGTCAAGATGATTTTTTCGTGGATACGTAAAAAGAAGGTTACAAAATTGAACTCTTGTAAAGAACTTACGATTCCATCTCATTTTCTTTGTCCGATTTCTCTTGATTTAATGAAAGATCCAGTCACATTATGTACTGGAATTTCATATGATCGTGAAAACATCGAGAAATGGATCGAGGCACGGAACTCAACGTGCCCCGTGACGAATCAACATTTGAGAAATTTCAATCTCATACCAAACCATGCCATAAGGAAAACGATTCAAGATTGGTGTGTGGAGAACAAAAACTATGGCATTGAAAGAGTTCCAACTCCTAGAATTCCAATCGATTCGTCTCAAGTAACGGAGATTTGCTCGAGGCTAATGATTGAAGCTCGACGAGGGAACGAGATGAAATGCAGAGAGTTAGTTGGACGAGTCAGGATTTTAGCTAAAGAGAGCGATAGAAACAAGAAATGCATAGTGGAATGTGGGGTAGGTTATGTTTTTGCAACATGTTTCGAGATTTTCTCTATGGGAATTCAGGATGAACTCTTGAAGGACTTGTTATCGGCGATGACGTGGATGTTTCCTATTGGTCAAGAGGGGATATCGAAACTCGTGTCATCGACGTCTTTACGTTGCATGGCAAGGTTCATGAAAGGTGAAGATTTATCAGCAAGACAAAACGTAGTTATAGTCATGAAGGAATTGCTCTATTATGACCAAAGTTGCACAAATGTGTTAATAGATATCGAAGATTTGGTTGAATCTTTGTACCAAATGGTGAAAGTACCGATTTGCCCCTCCACGACGAAAGCGTCGTTAACGGTGATATACTCTATTATCTCATATACATCAAGTGAAAATAACAAGAAAATTGTGTCTAAATTTGTAAACATGGGGATTGTTTGTTTGGTTGTTGAAATGCTTGTGGATTGTGAAAAGAGTATAATAGAGAAGGGGTTGGCTATTTTGGACATAATTTGCAATTTTGAAGAAGGGAAACAAAAGGCTTATGAACATGGATTGACTATGGCAATAATAGCCAAAAAAATAATGAGAGTTACAGAAATGGCCACAGAATGTTCAA